AAAAAATAAAAAGCTTTTCATTTGCTTTTAATCAAAATCTTATCTAAATGACATTAAAATTTCATTGAAAACTAATACAATTTTTCTTCTGTTATATTAATATTATTTTTTGACATTTCAATCATTCAAACAATGATCATTTAAAGTTAAATGAGAAACATATTATAGTAAGGAAAGTAATTGCTGCTTTAATTATTATTCATAAGTCTTCTATGAAGATTTTTATTTTGTTTTTTACTTTTGAAAATATTGTCAAATATTAAATGTCAGAAAAAGAAATTGTGTATGAGAAAAACGGATAGTTGATGGCTATTGAAAAATTTTTCTTGTCACTTCTTATAACAAGATGCCAAAAAAAATTGGTCGAAAGAAAAGAAAACACGAATTGTGTACGATGACCGATACAGTCGACGAATAACAATAATAATACGATTTTTTTTTTCTTATAACTATCGTCAGGAAGAAGAATAATGCTTTGTACTATTGTTGATGATGCGATTGTATAAGAATAATGCACGATATTGAAACTGTTGACATAAAATAAAATAATGCCTACAAAATTTGAGCATCTATCTGTCGAATTACTTTACGAAATATTTATTTATTTCCAATATGATGAAATATTCAATATATTTTGTAATCTTAATTCACGATTTGCTACTATCATTGATAATCTATCAACAATACCCATTTATTTGGGTTTCGATAGAATGACTATTGGATTGACACAATTCTATTATAAATATTTATCAAAATCAAACATCTCTAATCGTCTTATATCATTATTTGTCTCAGATACATTATCAATGGATAATGGTTTATGGTTATCATCAAACTTATCTAGATTTATCAATCTTCGTAATTTATGTTTAATTGACATAAAACGTTGTTCATTTGAATTAATTCTCTGATTCGATTAAGTATATATGTTATTTAACTGATTATCGTGCTGCTTATACGTTTAAAGGTGTGCCTGAGGGTGCTTATTATCAGCAAATATTCCACTTATTCCCGTCATTACGTGTATGTCATCTATTTTTCCGGCATTATATACATTATACTATAGACAGTCAATTCGTTCTACCAACAAACAGATCTCGTATGCCAATTGAAATTAGTCTGTTTAACTTAAGATCACTTGCAGTTCGATATTCGATAAGCTTTCTATCATATTTATTTGAACATCTTCCACAATTAGAAGAACTTGACTATTCGCCAACTCATCCTTGGTTACCTGATGAAGATCCATTCAAAGATGATGATAATAAGTAAGTTTTTTTTAAATTTAATCAATGTTCTTATTAATTTGATCAATGTAAAGAACACGATAGAAGAGAATCTATCTAATCATGTTTTTTATCAAAAATAAACTCTTGTTAAAATTAAATTAGTTTTCAACTGATTAAATACGTATTGAATAAATCGTATTAACTTTTAAATTACAATGAAAAATAAATAAACTCAAGAAAATATGAAAAAAGCTGATCAGTTAAATGTAAGTTATCTATAAGATTTTCAAATTTAATTTATGTATGAAATTAAACTGTTGGAAATAGGCAGTTATGATATATTATATTGAGTTATAGATAAATTCATCTGAAATATGAGTCTTATAAATATCTCCGTTTTGGTGATATAAGAATAAACGTTAGTCTTTTTTTCTCATAGGTAATTAAAGACTTATCTGCTTATAGAAGTGACTTTGATGAATATATTTGATTAGGATTTGAGTTTATGATGAAATGTTTTCTATTTATTCTTGAAAATAAAATTCTTCTCTTTTATTTCTCTATAAATCATTGTTTGATAGTTATTTAAGATTTGATATTTGAATATATTAGACTGAGTTAATGATCGAAGCTCGAATGAGAACTGAAGAATAAATACCTAGTAGTTCTAATCATAATGATAGAAGAAATTGATAAATACATAATGTCGAATGGATTTTCTCAAACAAAATGTTTATATGAAAATCAAAGGTCAAAAGGTTTCGAAAAGAGTGAAGACTTTTATAGAATGATGACAAAATGACTTTCGAATAAAATTTAATGAATTTTGAAAATTTCATCACCGTTTATAAATGGATAGAGAATGTCTAAGATCTACAAGATTTAGTCATTATTTTTATAATGAGATTTGTTTTCGATATGTTTCGAAATTTTATTATTAGTATGATTTTGTTGAAGACTAATCCGAAGATGGATTATATCGTGATAAATCTATTTTGAAAAGTCTCAATGATATCTTGATCAAGACAAGAAGAATATTTTCAGTATTATTTGTAGAAATAACACTGACCTGCAATCTGGTCTAGAAAACATGAAAGATAAATTGTGTTTGATTAACAAGTTAAATGCTATATATGATTTATAATGATCTTTTTAATCGATTTTAGTGAAGTAACTGCTATTAATAAACGTCTTGCTTCAAATCTACGTTGACTAAAACTAAATTGGTATGGTGCTGTGATTAATGTTGAATCAGTTAATAAATTGTTTGAACGTGACGTTTTATTTTCATTGGTGAAGTTCAAATTAGTCAGGAACATATCTGCTATAGATGTTCTTAATAATTTACTATCAATGCTTTCAAGTCAATGTTCATATTTGTTTGATGTTAATTGGTCTGTGACAACTGTTGTCTCATTAAGAGAAACAAGTAAAATCTTATCTGAGACGTTTCAACAGCTGAAATTGCCAATTCCAATTGAATTAGAACTAACTTTAGAAGAAAACATGTATTCTATTAGGGCTATAACAGTACCAAGAATCGATAGATATTTATCTGTCTATTATTATCTACGTCCCAATACTGTTCATGGGTATAAAAAGACAGTTGTTTTTTTTCTAATTTAGACGAAGTCGATGTTCATATAATAGATGTTGTGCTAATATTCGATCGTTTTGCTACGATGAGATTATAATGAGAGCGAGTAATGATGAAATGAATGATGAATTTCTTCGTTTCTCGCCACCACTCGTACCTTGAAATAAAATAACATCGCTTGATATAAGTCAACCATTCAAGTCAAATCATCTTCATTTTCTTTTTTCGAAACTAACTAATCTTCGTACTCTTGAATTACATTATCCATCAAAATATGAATATGAAAACGAATTGAACGAAAATATTTTCATTTATCTCCTTAATGATACTTCTTTATGCAATATGCTTATGTCAAATGGATTACGACAACTTAATCTTTTTACTGTTTGGGAACAAGCAAATTTGTTAAACATAGCCTATTTGATTGTCGATCGACTACCTGATTTGAAAATTATAGAACTACATGGTTATGACGATAAACTCATTGATATGTCACATATATTTATTAATAGTCTTTCAAAATTAACTTTTATTACTATTAGTGGTTGTTATAAACATGGGAAACTTTATGATAAAAGATTGCGGGATTTACAAAAATCGTCTAGTCGATTCTTTCGGACTGAAGTTGCTAATACAATAGATGAAGATACTATTTTTATATGGTTATAATTAAATAAAACGTGCGAATTATTTTTTCTTTGTTACACTTTAACTTCTTTTTATAAAAGAATCATAAGAATCTTTATATATAAATAAAGCGAAAATTTTGGAATCTTTTTTTTTTCTATGTTAAATAGGATAAGAAAACCTTGTGTTTTTCATATAAAATCAAATAAAAATCTTTTTTTTTTTATGTGCAATTATTTGACTAAATATCGAATGACTTTATTTTTGAGTGATTAATTAGGGAATTTTTGTTAAAGTTTACGAGTTTGAAATGATTACTATCAAATAATAAGACATCAAAATTTATTTACTATTCAAAACATACTAAAACTCGTTGCTAATTGAGCATCAGAATCTTTAAAAAATAACTTCGAGTTCGAAAGAATAATACTAATATCCGATCGAAGAGTATCTTTTTTTTTATTGTTAATAGTCTATTTATTTCTAAACTAAAAATATATCAAACATGATAATCTTTGTTTTTAAGCATCTTTTTATTTTTCACTAATAGTAACAATCTATGGATTCATCAATCATTGAAAATAAATAAAATAAGGTCAATAACACATAATATGTCTACATTGAAAATCACAGCTGCTTATATGTAAAACTAGATGGTATTCAAGTTTCGACTCGAATACGAAATGCGGTGCGAAGCACACGCGTCAAGAACTTCAACAACGAATTTCGAATCGAAATCGAATAATCGCTCTAAACACTATCGGAATTCCTTCTCACATTCTACGTCAAGATTCGAAGATAACTGAAGATGTTTCTGAGTTAGGGATAATCGATAAAAAAACATTTTTACCAAACAGCTCAGCTGAACTAGATTCGACACGAAAGGTATCCATTATAAAATTCATCACTATAGAAACCATAGGCGGCGCAGCGTTTTTGGATACGCTGAATCTCAGTTTCAGAGCATGGGATCCAGATGAAATTTATGGAGGATGATATTGAGCCTAAATGATGAGTTTTTTTCAAAAAATTTTTGCGATCGAAGTTTGCGAAAAAATTTTTAAAAATCTTATTGCTACCCCTAAAAATTTTTTTGTTTTTTTGTAGTATTCCAGTTTTTTTAATTCAGTCGTAATCTACGTCGAATTTTATCGACAGATTTCAAATTTCACCTAAAAATATGCATCCGTTCAGGAGTTAT